TGGTCATGATTATTAATGAGGGGCTGATCGACGTGGAGTAACGTCAAAAGCTCATGATTATTAATGAGGGGGGGAGGCATGTGGAGGACGTCACCTGTTCATGATTATTAATGAGGGGGGCTGGTCGACGTGGAGTAACGTCACGCGCGTTACACACAAACAGACATTCTTGGCTCATTATAGTAGTAATTCGTACGGAGACACTCCTCTTATCCGGGACCCTAATATCCACGCTTCTAATGATCCATGCACTCAAAGTGGCTTGCGGAAAATCTTCGCACTCAAATTGATTTGCGGAAAATCTTGCTATCACCGCATTAACTCTTTTTTGTTATCTGCACTCATCGGTGGAAAAGAGGAGGCGACTTACAAGTGGTAGCACAACATTCCTACTATTCGCACTTATTTCAAAATCTGAATATGTATTCATACTGGAGCAATCCGATGAGCTATTACAGATGTCCAGTGGGGGCGGGTAAGAACGTTACAACGGACGTGCCACGGTAAAGGGTAAGAACGTTACAACAAGGTGCCACGGTAAAGGGTAAGAACGTTACAACAAGGTGCCACGGTAAAGGGTAAGAACGTTACAAGGTGCCACGGTAAAGGGTAAGAACCTTACAACAGACGTGCCACGGTAAAGGGTAAGAACGTTACAACAGACGTGCCACGGTAAAGGGTAAGAACGTTACAACAAGGTGCCACGGTAAAGGGTAAGAACGTTACAACAAGGTGCCACGGTAAAGGGTAAGAACGTTACAACAGACGTGCCACGGTAAAGGGTAAGAACGTTACAACAAGGTGCCACGGTAAAGGGTAAGAACGTTACAACAGACGTGCCACGGTAAGGGTAAGAACGTTACAAGGTGCCATGGTAAAGGGTAAGAACGTTACAACAAGGTGCCACGGTAAAGGGTAAGAACGTTACAACAGACGTGCCACGGTAAAGGGTAAGAACGTTACAAGGTGCAACGGTAAAGGGTAAGAACGTTACAACAAGGTGCCACGGTAAAGGGTAAGAACGTTACAACAAGGTGCCACGGTAAAGGGTAAGAACGTTACAACAAGGTGCCACGGTAAAGGGTAAGAACGTTACAACAAGGTGCCACGGTAAAGGGTAAGAACGCTACAACAAGGTGCCATGGTAAAGGGTAAGAACGTTACAACAAGGTGCCACGGTAAAGGGTAAGAACGTTACAACAAGGTGCCATGGTAAAGGGTAAGAACGTTACAACAAGGTGCCACGGTAAAGGGTAAGAACGTTACAAGGTGCCACGGTAAAGGGTAAGAACGTTACAACAGACGTGCCACGGTAAAGGGTAAGAACGTTACAACAAGGTGCCACGGTAAAGGGTAAGAACGTTACAAGGTGCCACGGTAAAGGGTAAGAACGTTACAACAGACGTGCCATGGTAAAAGGGTAAGAACGTTACAACAAGGTGCCACGGTAAAGGGTAAGAACGTTACAACAGACGTGCCACGGTAAAGGGTAAGAACGTTACAAGGTGCCACGGTAAAGGGTAAGAACGTTACAACAGACGTGCCACGGTAAAGGGTAAGAACGTTACAACAAGGTGCCACGGTAAAGGGTAAGAACGTTACAAGGTGCCACGGTAAAGGGTAAGAACGTTACAACAGACGTGCCATGGTAAAAGGGTAAGAACGTTACAACAAGGTGCCACGGTAAAGGGTAAGAACGTTACAACAGACGTGCCACGGTAAAGGGTAAGAACGTTACAAGGTGCCACGGTAAAGGGTAAGAACGTTACAACAGACGTGCCACGGTAAAGGGTAAGAACGTTACAACAGACGTGCCACGGTAAACGGGTCACCCAGCAGTGCTAAATTCATCTCATTATCCGCACTTTATCCCCGGATAAAAGGAGTTCCTCGAAAATGTTCAAAGTTTATTTATGTTATCCATGCTTATCCATGGACGAGAGAAACAAGGGGCACACCAAAATCATGGCCATTATCTGCAGCTTTCTACAAACAAGGGTGACCTGGAAATGATAGCAAAACCATCCTGGTATCCGAGTTTATCCACGTATTTGGTCTACTCTTTCTTGCAAGCCGGCCGGTACATAAGAGGTGGGCGCACCAACACTATAAAAACAAAGATCCCCCGTATAGCCTTAACAGGATGTTGGGACAAGTGCTATTAGCGAGCACCTATGAAGGCCGGCACGGCACACGAGGGGGTGGGTGGCCAACACCACGCCCGGCCGCCTTTGTCTCCCCAGTGGTGACGTGTACGCACCACATCAGTTACTCATTTGAGGCTGAGTTGACCTAGGGGAGGCCCAGGACCGGTTTAGATATTTGTCACTGGTGTTGTCCGTGAGCGGGAATCGAACTCGGATCTTCGGGGTTCGTAGCGCAGCGCGCTAACCGCTACACTATCGCACCAACACTATGCCCTACCTGCCACACACACTTAACCCCAAGGCTAACTTCCACTCTACCTCAATGGCAGAAAATCTTTGAAGATGTGGCAGTACAGTACTCACAATGCCCCTATCACACGGGGGAGATGGCCGATTGACGAACTGTGGTTGGAAAGTGGTGCCCCTCTGTTGCTTGCCACACAAATGAACCCCAATAATTTGCTGATCTCGTCAAGGAGCATAAACCATAACGTCATCATCGCAGCGACTTTTGGCGAACCATCGAACAAAGACGGTCACCGCATCGTACGCTTTCAAATGCGCTTTTGCGGCCGTCTGGAAAGCTCTTCCTTCTGATATTTAAACTCACTTCTTTAGAACTGCATTCTTGTGTTTAGTTTGTTGTCCTTCCCCCGCACCTCCGATTAGCACGGTTGGCTACGTACGGTGCGAAAGAAGTTCGGCATACATACAGCACCCATTTATAGTGCGGGGTGGACAGAGGCAGGCAGAGGGGACGCAACTTGCACCACTGTTTAAACTTAACGTAAACGATGTGGCAGCAGATGCATGTGAAGGACGGGCAGATGTTCAGGCCGAACATGCCGTGCCAGGAAGCATGGCATAGCTGAGCTCACCCAGAGAGAGAGAGAGAGCGGCTGTTGCAATCAAACTCTGAAGAATGCGCGACGCGATTAAATCAACAAGTCACAGGGTTGGATTAACTGAAACAACTAAAACGCCATTAGGGTGGGAATTCCAGAGGATGTGTCTGTTCAGACAATTGCCCGAATCACCATCCCCCCCCCCCAAATCCCACCAAGCAGTTTGTGAAACTGCCACGCGTTTGTAAATGTGACGTTCTCAGGATGACAACACTTTCATGATGTTATTGTAACATTTATTAACCCAGGAAAGCCTCAAAGAGACTCAAGACCCTTTATTTAGAACGGGTCAGGCTCGGTTTTTGGAGTGGGGGGTGACGATTGCTACGTGTTTTCTCCACTGAGTTATTTAGTTATTCAATTTGAACAATGACACGGGTGGAAGACAATGGCCTAATCTTCTACGGATGGCATCATGGGATATTTTTTGAGAAAAACATGTTTTTTTTTTTTAAACCCGCAATGACGCACACAACACGGAGGGTGAACAAACTCGCGCGCGGGGAACGCGTGAACGGAAAGGACATCATGGGATATTTAACATCCAATGTGAAGCACAGGGTGCAATATTTACATTTGGTACACCCGCATTATTAACCAGGGCGGCGACGGAGCTCGAAATGCAAACAAACCGCAAATCCGCTGACCACTCGGCCATGACTGCCCCTTTACGATCCTAAAGCCTGCAAAAAAAGATTCCAAATGTATCCTTGAATGCAGTCATTCATTTTTTAAGTGGGAAAAATGTACAAATTAACAACCTCCTTCGCACAATGTCCTGTTAATGAATTAAACATTTGCCCCAAAAACTTTATATTGGATTTCATTCTGAAATAATTTTAAAAAGTCGTTATTTTCTTAATAGTGCCAAATATAATACGTCGAAAGCTGTAGGGGGAAAGACATCTGCTCAGGTTTGTCACCATCCGTAAATGGATATTTCCGAGAAATAAAAAAAACACAATCGCACGCACCTGTGCAGCCACGCTAACCTAACTACAACAAAAAATTGCAGCGTGAATGGTCCCCCACATTCCAACACCACGGTGGGGGTTGTGGACTTCCTGCAAGAGGTGGGGAGTGGCGAATGGGGATGGGGTGGGGGGCGGAGTTTGGGTATGGATCTGAGCCGGGCACTTTTTGTGATGCACCAGCGAACCCCAATCGTTCATATTGGGACAGCTTTTGCCAAGAGAATCTTGACAACCCAGCAGCATTTGTGTCTGTCGCCTAATGATGTTGGTTGTAATTACTGGTCAAACGTCGGACTTGAATTGTAAATGTTGTGGGTTTACCCTCCAACACACCGGTGTGCTGTACTGGTAACAAATTGGAATGTTTTGTTCACGTGACAAACCTTGCGAATTTGCTGTGTAGGGTGGTGGCGGGTTTAACGACACATTTATATTTACGCGATCTCACCCAAAACCCTGTGTAGCAAGCCTGCTGATGAGGCCTTGGTTATAACCGGTTAAGTGGTTTCTTGTTTAACCCAAGGCTGCTGGTTAATTCTGGTTTGGAACGCCGATAGGCCGATGTAGTAAAACTAAATATTTATATGTAGGGACGCAGAATGGAGTTCTGATTATATCTATATATTATTTTACAAGGGAGGGGGCTTTACCCACGAGTTTATACAGAAAAGAGAGACAAATCATCACGTGAAATTTGGATTCACACTTATCGCGAGATTTCACACATTTCGCGATAGCTGTTGTTTTACGGGATGTCACGGCTCATCCATATTGTTATACATATTTGATGCAGATATATATAAAATAAATAACGTATACATATCACTAAACATTACACCCACATGGACACAGTGAAATTAAGGTTCAACCAAGACCTACAAAATACATATTATTTTAAAATAAAATTACCAATTAGGCGAAGCTTAACACAATGTTTGCAATCCCACACACATACACAAAAATGGCACAATCACTGCAAATTGTAACATTTTTAATTTCCCAGACGTTTTATCGCTTATTTAATATTTCAATAGAATCAGTGTCCGTTGAACTTTCAGAATGACCTCGTCAAGGGCTGCATGTCAGTCGCCTCCATGCTGTTCCCCTTGTAGGAAAAAGTCGCGTAAAATTATCACAATTGGTTCTATTGGGTAAAGTCACGTAGGTAAAACATAAAAATGTTTATCTTATTTTTTACCTACGTGGCTTTACCCAATAGAACCAAAGAGTATGGATCCTAGCAGTCACGAAAGCTTTAAATCTAGAATTATCACAATTGAAAACTTTTTTTGCCCGAGATGACCGTAAGCCACGTATTCAATGAGCTCACCTGTACTTCTACTTTCAGACAATCGTGCCTGCTGAGTCGGCAGTAGGAATGTGTAACGATCTATAGAATTTATATTTTAAACAAAAAAATTCAACACATTTGTCAAAACAACTGCCCAAAGTAAACATTTATATAATAGATTACGTTACAGATGATGGCCCTTATTTGCAGAGAATGTTTGTGCTTGTGCAACAATGATTTAATCCACCAAAGTCAACTCTTATGCTTACAGTACTGTACATGCATCGAATCATGCGTGTGAATGTACTATTCACGCAAATCATGAGAAAATTATACTCTTAAAATGCATTTAGGCTAACGGAGTAAAGCAGATTTTCCAAATGAGAAAAAAAAAACATGAAAAATATAAAGAAAAGACAAAAAATAATCGATTTTAAAAAAATTGGTACCACAAATCGTGACAATTTTTCATATCGCCAGGTACGTAGCACCTGCTACAAACGTTACCTCCATAAACTAATGCACCCTAACATTTTCAATAGATCAGCCCCTACAAGCTGACCAATGTGGGTTTATATTGTGCGTGTGTTACCTGTCGTCCAGGTGGTATTGGTAAACAACTTCCAGCAGGGAAGGGCTTTGTTTACAAAAGTCAGTCCAGAGATAAGGGTACAGCCAATCCACGGAGGAATGCTCTGATAACGTTACCGCTAAACTACTATCTCCTCCCTCAACAACGACAACCAAAAATTGCGTAAGATCGCCTTTTTCTCAGGAACTGATAACGAAAAGGATGTTGATGCGATTGCTTCAGGCCAAGACGTCGATTGTAAAATGTGGTAGAACAAGTGAACTGAAACAAACGGCATGAGCAAGGTGCGGCCGATGGGGGAGCAAATGTGAAAGCCCTCGAGTTATGTATCCAGCGACGACGGAGCTGGGTGACTTACGCACAGGCACTTCCACCTATTGAAATCGCCGAGTTACTTGCTCAACAAAGAAACGACCCAGCCCTTAGACTGGACACAGACAATAATGCCTCCCCTCTCGCTTATTGGTGCACGCAAAAAAACAATCAATCGCGTGGCTCCCAGCAACTATTACAAAGGTAACATTTGACGTATTTTGTGATTTAATAGAGCCTATAAATCAGACGGCATTTATTTAGTCGTCACAAAGCGTTAAAAAAAACAAGGTGGAAATCGGCTTTTCAAATGTGGATAGGATTGTCTGTGCAGAACTCCATCGAATGGATTCTCATTTTATTTCAGTTTTACATTATTACACAACAATCTGCCATTTACAGACACGGCCTGTGTTTCTTACTCTAAGGGTGCGCGAAATCGTTCTGTTGAAGTCATTGTACAATTTTGCAAGCACACACTTATCCAAATTTTCTCACCTACCTGCAGGAAAAAAAAAGCCAAGTCAGAATGCAACTTTTCTTATTCAAGTGTCCTCTGTATAGCTGACTGTAGCTTTAACGAAGAAACTTAACAAAACACGGCTAAAGTAACTGCAGGGAATAGAATGACACCGTTCGCTGATGTAGAACTGGTCCTGCGTCTTTAACAGGACTGTGAATCTCAGCTCATAGAGAGAGAGAAACCAGCCTTTCTTTTTTTACAAATGTGACATTCCAAGACCCCGCACCTGCTCCACTACAGACCGGCTGAACTGTGTGGTCTCACTCGGCTCATTACTAACACTGGCAGTGAAAAAAGCCCACGTGGAAACATGTTCTTTTCCAGCTGATCATCCCAGGAGATTCACACCACCTTTGGTAACATAAGGAAGAGACTGGGAGGCAAAAGACTCGTGCTCACTGTTCTTCGTGCGCATAATTCGCAAACGCAACGGGATGTCCGTCAAAAAAGCTACCGGATTAACTCGTCAATAAACCCGATACGATCAGCAACGTAAATGAAGATATCAACGGCCCTCATAAGTTGCCAACATCAATGAACCATCGGGCTAATTCCACGTGTTTACCAAGTAAACGTCAAAGGCTCGTCACGCATGCAAAGCACGACCAATGCCAGCCCTTTGTGGAGAAAACCAAGGGGCTCCACAGTCATTAAACGCTCTGGTTGTCCTGCCTACTTAGCCAAGCAAGAGATGCTATCTTGTAGGCCACTGTGTAATTGCCCAATCATTAATCTCTACTTTACACTATTCTCTCAATCCACCAAGGCAAGTGCGTCTTTACTTTCAGTATTCTCATGCCGCGCATTCCACGGAACAATCCGAAATGTCAGCAAACACGTATAGGAGTGGTTTTCAATTGGATCGAAAGTAACAAAGTGAGCTCACACAGACTTGAGTGAGCTTTTCCTGGAATAATTAGGAATCGGAGCGAGTGACTGGCTTCTGCTTTACGTTTTGATTGCCTGCAAAAGATCATTTGAACTTATACAGCATCTAAAATACATTTCTAAAGACGCTAGACAAAGCGAACTGATGTTTTTTTTGAAATATTATTCATTTATAATGTTCTCGATGAACAGTGCGGGCTAGATTTTTTTTAAGGTAATTTTATAAAACCACTGGCTCTTTCAATACGATTTCTACTCGTAAACCAATTCTGAAAGGTCGAAGTTAACGTTTTATGTCAATTGCAATGCTGCACGTGAATAATCAGCAGTGCGGCTCAGCAACAAAACCCAAAGCATATACGTACAGTATGGAGGGCTGATTGAATTACGTATTTAGATAATCTGGACCATATACGTGATCACACAAAGGCCCCACTGTTTCAGAGTAAGAGGATCTCCGGCGTCAGCAAGCAAAGCAGGCGCACGCACGGCCGCTGATAAAGCAGCTGGGCGGTTCATTATCAGCGGGGGCCGCGATGCACAACGCAACCCTTGGACTCAAAGAGTCGAGCCCAGACCTCCCCAGCCGCCATTCAAAAATATACTGACGTAGCTTGGGAGCTTTGCTGTCAAAATCGCAAGCACCTGCAGGTGCCAGCCACGGACATCCAAATGACGTCCATTAAGTACACAAAAAATACCAATAAATTACTATTCTGAACACCCATTCCCCTCCCACCTTCAGTGAAGTGTGACTATGTGAGGAGGTGTCAAAGTACGGATCGGAAGGACGCGAGACACCGGCACACGGAAGCTTGTGTTGCCTCCAAAACGTCGTGATTTCATTTAGTTGTTTTCATTTTATGTTACCCACGTGACTTTACCGAAAAACCAAAGAGTATGAATCCTTGCAGTCACGGAAGCTTCAAATCTAGAATTAATGTCTTTGCACCTCGGCACATTAATTTAGTGTGCCGGTGTCTCGCGTCCCTCCGATCCGTGCATTCTGCTGTGACTGTTCCACCTGAAGACGGAAGCTTGTGTTGCCTCCGAAACGTCGTGATTTAATTTAGTTGTTTTCATTTTATGTTAACCACGTGACTTTACCGAAAAACCAAAGAGTATGAATCCTTGCAGTCACGGAAGCTTCAAATCTAGAATTAATGTCTTTGCACCTTGGCACATTAATTTAGTGTGCCGGTGTCTCGCGTCCCTCCGATCCGTGCATTCTGCTGTGACTGTTCCACCTGAAGACGGAAGCTTGTGTTGCCTCCGAAACGTCGTGATTTAATTTAGTTGTTTTCATTTTATGTTACCTACGCGACTTTACCGAAAAACCAAAGAGTATGTGCAAAGACATGCCAGAAAAGTTCGATGTTTGTCACATGACGGTAAAACTAAAACCAAACTATTTTTATAAACTATTTTTTATGTCACCAGGTAAGGCCCACTGAGCCATATAGCTCTTTTTTTCTGAAGCGACCTGGCCACAAATGATAGCTCAACAAAGTGGCTTATCATCATGTGTACATTTATGGCGGCCAAATGACTCTAAATGCACGTTTTGTAGACACGCGGCAGCAGGGGACAGAGACCCGTTGGGGATCGGCAGAGTGGACAAGCCAGAGCGTGGCGAGACGGCCGGGTAGGCATGCGCACTGCGTACTTATGAAACAAGCGAGATACTGTGACGGAGGTGGGTGGGGGGGGTGGAAGCGGGCCTAGTTTAATGTGCTGCTGGCAGCATCAGGGGGAGGTGTGGCCCTGGGGGGTGTGGGCTGCAAAGAGAAGGGCTCCAAGCGCTCGGACTCGGGGAGCAGCACATTGAGCCGCTCCATCAGTGGTAGCGTCTGGTCCACGCCCATCTGGATCTTCCGCAGGAGCGCAGAGATCTCTCCCACCTTTCACAACAAGAGGGCATTGGTGACAGCGGCGCTGTGATAACCATAACGGCAACAATACAGAACATGAATGTAGTGCATATCTGGTAGAATGCGCTGTGTGGCTCAAGCATCCAGCGTCAAGCTTGATAGCTCGGGGCAATGATAGGTCAAGGCAGGGCCCACACACGCATAGCGAGAACACAATCAAATAAACAAAATGCATTATCGCCATATCACTACTTTGTTCATGACCATTTGTGTGAGCAATGAAAACATATCCCATCACTGAAATTCACAACCAACATGAGGTGAGTTTAACAAGAAAAACTACATAAACTACAAATGGATTTGCATTGCCATTAAATAATATCACCCTACTCATATGACCTACACACTGCAAAGTCAGGCAGGTAATGGCCAGGATATACACCCAGCACTTGTCAATGAATGTGAGCGAGTGCATAAATGGGCTCTCACTTTTTTAACCTGCTCGGCGTAACGTGCAAAGCGCTTCTGTCTCTCCTGCATGGAGGCGTAGAGAGTGCTGACCTCCCCTTCCACCTGGCAGAGAGGATAGCACAGCGAGCAACGGTTAGATAATATCTGGATAAGAAATCCTTTTCCCATCAAAACCGATTCATTGATGCACTCAAGGTGGCGGCCAATGGTTGAATCACAAACAAGCAGCCAACCGTTGAGCTCGTTTGATTGTTGGTGAGGATACCAGCATGCACGCCGCATGGTCGGCCTCGCACACCACCTCTGGGATCTCATGTTTATCAATGACCATATTCTTCAAATGTGCATCGTGTAATTTACATGTGAATGAAGACGACCGGTCAATGAGATAAAACTTGGACCTTGGTACGGCCAAGGATTTGTGAACTGCCGGCTTAAATGATTCATACGCGCGGAACACAATCCCCCTTCATCCAAGACTCATCGTGCCATTTACACCTCCGCCTTTATCTACGGCGTGCGTTCATTTAAATTCACTCCGGGGGATCAGAGAGAGAGAACAAAACGTGGTAAAAGCTACGAGCAGGATGTCAGCCCAATTGTCCTTAGCAACCCCAAGGCTGCCCTTAACTGGCTTACACACAATTCCCTGAACACTGCGATTGAATATAATAGGGCGGCGTTGAGCCTGCTTTACTGTTTTATTTTTTTTCCACGTGTGTTTTGTTTAGTTTTTTTTTTGTTCACAACCGCCGACACAACCCCTGCAGCTACAACAAAGTAGGGGCTAATGTCAAGATTGGCTTTCGGAAGCGGGCACCAAAAACAGCACTCGGAGAAAGAGGAGAAACTCTCGTGTTTTCCACGGCACACACCACCTCACCTGTGCTGCCACACAAACACTACCTCTGAATGTGTAACAGTTGTCTCAGGTACCCCCCCCCTGAAACGTCAAAATCAGAATATTTATTCATACCGGAGGAATCCGACGAGCTATAAAGCTCTTTTTCACACAAAAAGACGATAGGAGTGTAAAGTACAAGAAAGGTCCACAAATCACCCAAACACATACAAATAAAACACTAAGCCATCCTCATCTTACCAGACAAAGCCCATTGAGGCTTTCAGTTATTTTTCAAAAGTGACCTGGCCACAAATGATAGCTCAACAAAGTGGCTTATCGTGTGGACATTTATGGCAGCAAAATAATCGAAGGAGTCTTACATGCACGTTTCTAAATGTGGAGGGGAAACACCGGAGGACTCGGAGAAAAAAATCCACGTGACGACGGGAAGAGAGACACGCAAACTCCAAATATCTGGGCATCAGGGTCGGGATCAAACCCCTGACCTCCTGCATACCAGGCGAGGGAGTTAACATCTCGCCACCGTCCAGGGGTTATGGAAAAAATTTGCAACTCCCACCACCACCCCCCATCCCCTTTCAACCCATCGCCAGACGACGAACGTTAGACCCCCCCCCCCGTAAAAAAATGACACAAACCACACTGATGATAGTTGGATATGTTTCAACATTGACGTTAGCTCCTTTGGAGCTAACTGTCCAAATGAAGGCATGTTCTGTGCATGCTTATACATGTAAAGCTTGTAATAAATTGCCTGGTTCAGCATTAAACGTCAATCAATATGACAGTTGTTTCACACAATAACAAGGTTAGTGGAAAATGTGTTTTTTTCTGCACGCTTTGCCCTGCAATGACAGACCAATACGTTTTCAGTCGATTTACCCAGGTACCACAATGTGGACAGCAGAGGACAGTGCAGCCAAATCCACTGTTGTACTGTACTTCTATGGCCCCACGTCCATGTTCCACACCCTCACCAACCCATACTGACCAGCGTGGTGATGTATGGTCAAATAAACCCCCGTGACCTACAGAGTGTGGCCCTCATCCAGCAGGCGTTTGCTTTAAGTGTACAAGATGCCATTGTTTTATTTTATTGCAGCTTTCAGCCTCTGCCCCCGGTTTATTTAAACACGCATCCACCGAGTTCAACACACGTAGAAACATAATGCGCGCACCATACATGTCGTACATATATTCACACACAAAACCAGAAAAAAAAACACACCTGACAATGGAAACACACATTTATACCATGCACCCTTCTATAATTTGTTTAACACAGAACACCTAAATCCGTCTATTACCACTGTATGGCGGACAAAACGTAAGCAAAACAAGTTGAGCATCGGAAGTCCAAAATTCCAACACCTCCCACAACACTTTTTGCTGTCGCAATCTATCACCTGAGCCTTCGCCCACGGTGCAATCACAAAATGTATGTATGTTGAACTTCTTTCGCACTGTACGTAACCAACCGCACTCATCCGAGGTGCGGGGTAAGAACAATAAACTAAAAACAAAAAAGCAGCTCTAAAGCAATTCCTTTTCAATCGAGATTTAAAAGTGCGTAGCTCCAGTGGCTTCCTAACATCGGAAGGAAGAGCGTTCCAGACGGTCGCAGAAGCGCATCTGAGAGCGCGCAATGCGGTGACCGTCTCGATGGCTCGCCAAGGGCCGCCGATGGTTTACGCACCTTGACGAGAACAGCAAGGTATCGTGGTTCATTTGTGGCAAGCACTCTGTGTGTAATGGGTGCCACCTTATAATAATGTATTTGTTCGGCAACTGGAAGCCAATGCAGCTCGGCGAGCACAAGCGGCTTTCCACGTACAGGCCGAGCTGCCTTTCAAACAAGCCCCGGTGTCTCTCTCCCTTTGCGCACGTTTCCTCCAAAGCTGTAATTACGGACACAGTTGCCATGGGGAGCGCACTTATATACACGTTCTGCCAAGGTGACCGTACCAAAAAAAAAGCCACGCCGGTGGGCCTCGGCTGCCGCCCCACCCGCCGCTGCCGCTGCCGCCGCCCCTCTCGGCCCAGCTCAGCCGATCACGGTCGCTGCAAAACGTCAGGCGGCTCGTAAAACGAGCGGAGAAAATTCGTGGCGGGTGCCGGTGGAGTTAAAGCCTCGCTTTAATTTAACCCTGCGCGGCCATTACACCACCGCGGCCAACGGTTCTCGAATGATTAACGGGCTGCAACCGCTATATATTTAATTGCCCAAGTTCAAAGTCTGCGTCAGGATCTATTTGCTACCAAACGGCAATAAAGATTACCAGTCTGGATGCTTCAGCGTTATTCGGGTTTTAACACCGTTAAGGCCTCGGTCAATTAAATGCGGACATTTTACAAAGCTTGCTTTAGTTAAAGAAGAGCCGATTCTTTACGTAAAGCTAATAAAGAACATGCGAGGACATGGGGTGGAAGAACATAATTAACTTACCACATTGGGTCCTTGCTGCAGAGCATGTGATAGACACGGGTGAAACAATTGCCCTGAAGAAACGAATTTAAAAAAGAATGAGACTACAATTAAAAAGCAATCTATGCATCGTATTTCTTGGCTGGCTGCTGGCTGGGTTCCTCTCCGCCCCAACAAAAGCTCTGTTTTGATTTAAAGCTTTCGTGACTGCAGGGATTCATATTCTTGATTCTTTCGGTAAAGTCACCACGTAGAAGGGAAACAATAAAATATTGTTTTGTATTTTTATTATTTTATTGTTTCCCTTCTAACGCGACTTTACCGAAAGAACCAAGAATATAAAAAGCTCTGTTGTTACTGGCTGCTGCGGGGCCGTTGACACCAAAACCAGCCGGGTAACTGGCTAGATGGGATTTTCCGTGCAACAAATGATTGTTGAATTGAACCGGCGGAAGAAGTTTGGATGACATATAATATACAGCGACACTTAAGAGTTGGAAGTAATACAGAAAACTGTCATGGTTCAATTTAAATTGCTCTAACTTTTTAAATGTGTGCTCCTATTCATATTAATAGTCTTTAAATCTGAGAATATTAAAACTAAAAACTCAAAATACGTATTATCTTGTCATTTATTACGTGACAAAGCAGATTTATTTCGGTGCTCCGCGTTTATGATTCTGAGAAGATTATGCAAATTACAGCTGTCTGATTATGCGTGGCACAGTAACGGGTTCTCTACGAGTGCAAATACATTCTATCAGCCACACTCGTGCTCACAATTGTTTTTTTTCTCCACTGTCACTTGGCTTCCAATCACAAGTATGGTAAATAACAGAGCTTATTCAAATCAATGTGTACGTTAAGTTATTTACCGTGTTCCAATAAGGATTTGTGTGTTTAATAACGACCACCAGCGCTGTATGAAGGCGATTCGCATATTATTTTTGAGCTTGGTCATTGGCCCTGTTTGAGAGTAAACGTCATCTGTTGTGTATCTCGTTCATTTTTGTATCCAAAGGTTTAAAAATGCATTTATCTGACCAGTTTAAAGGCCACACGAGTTTTTATCAACCACAGTAAAACCTTGGATTGCGAGTAACTTGGTCTGCGAGTGTTTTGCAAGATGAGCAAATTTTTTTAATAAATATTAATTTGATAAACGAGCGAGGGTCTTGCAATACGAGTAGTACGTATACGCTTTGTCTGCCGAGCGTCACGTGATCACAACTGATATACGAGTGCATTGATATACGAGTGCTTTGGATTATAAACACGTTTACGGAACGAATTATGCTCGCAATCCAAGGTTTTACTGTATTTGCAAGTAGGATGTCTTTTTTTCCAAGCTAATTTTTACATAAATAAATTTAACTGATTCTGTCCGCGAGTACGTTACGTTTTTTTATGAATAAAAATCCGTCATATCGATTTTCCAAGCACTGATTCAAAAATAAATTCAAGTGGTAATCCATGTCGATACTGTAAATCTAAATTTACAATGGGGTTAATACTATTCCTGCTTTCATTAATACGTTCACAAATGTTTATTAGGCGCTTGAAGCTAAATGCAGCCAAGACCATGGTCTCCACATTCCACCGCTGAACAATCCCAAGGCCACTAAATCTCTCAATTTAAGATTCTGTCATGTCCCTCTCGTACATGACTTCAAACCAAGTACCTAATAGACAGATCAAATCGGACGCTAAGTTATCACCAACACCTTGAAAACACCAGCAATGAGAGGAAGTCCCAGGTAAAAGCATCGTACAGAAGCTAGTAGGGACATCACGGGCAAGCAACGATCGAAC